CAACTAATGGAGTCTCAAACTCTGATTGGTGCTTTGCTAGCATTAACAAGCAATCAAAGATAGCTGCTGACAGCTAATAACTGGCGCTTTTTATTGTACTCATAACGTGATGCAGATTTGATCCACACATTTGGGTTCCTAGACCTCATACTGTACCAGTTATTTTGATATGAAATTACAGCCAGAATTAATGCGGATTCTTTTTGGCCACCCACTACTAGTAGTAGTGTGACTTTGACAGACCAGTTCTAAGCTGCCAGATCATCTTTAAGRTTCCCAATGACATGGTTTTCTAACAAGTAATTATATCAACTTGGACTGAATGCTTAGCAGTCTGGTGGTGGTGGTGGTCTACTAGGAGAGTGGTGGTGCTTGTTGTTTTTCAATAGAGTTCTTGTCTACATTCTAACCAGCAGCCAGTCCCAGAAACTAGCAAAATATGGCCATACCAGCTGTTAATGGAGAACTTGCTCCCCCCTGGCCTCTAATTGTGTAACAAAGAAGGATGACACACAGCACTCTTCTTAAGGACACAATGACTGAGCATACTATCCCCCCAAAGGGTAGTAGTAGTATCTCCTCAGCATTACTAGTACTACTACTAGAGGCCTTTCCGGAGCTGTTGTGTTGATGTTATTTTAGCTTATTGAACTGTTTGTGGTGGAAAAAGTGACCAGAAGTAGTAGATCTAGTATTTAGGATCAGTACTAAAATACAATATACTGGGCTTCAAAATTAACCGTGATTTTACTAGCAATAGTAGTAATTTTTAGTGTTTGASTAGGATGCCCTTTTGCCCTGTTGGGCGTGGTAGGATTGTACAGCATTTTACTTCGAAATAACTGGTACAGTACGTACGTACGTAGGTACGTATGTACCTTCAACATATGSAATATGAGTGTTTTTCATCAGGCTGCAAAACCCTGCGCAAAACTCGGAGCTCCCCTCTAAATTATGACCCCTGCGTGAAGGCTCATAACCTAATACGTTTGATTGCTGTAAAGGGGAAGAACAAAAGAAATCGTGGGTAGTGCGCGCGCACTCGTCGCATATGTACCGCCAACCTCATTACGATCAGAAAATGAAGTCCATCGCTCCAACCGGTATATTGCGCGCACTTCTGTAGCGATGGAAAGAGCAGCTCTCGCAAGCACCGATTATCCAAGATTGGATTCCTAAACATTTTTTTAAAAGAATGGGCTCGCGCGTTTGACCCTCCGATGGAGCGTTCACAAGACTGGGAWAAAAAGCAGGGGGAACTTTAAAAAGCAATCATTTTTTTACCTCCAATCGCTCTTTTCTTTTCTTCCAAGACTTGGAATAAAAATAAATTGTATCCTCGATTGATTCATTCATTCCGATCAAATTGAGAATCATCACAAAAATAGTACTGTAGTACTCACAAACACACGAGAGTACTTATCAACCGTAAATAAACCCCAGTCAGACATTCGACATGACAATTGACAAAAGAAGCAACGATGAACACACACATTCACCACGCAGTGTCCGAGCGCGTTGCTTTCACTTGTACGATCACTCCAAAAATTACCAAATCTCATCCATACTGAAGACAGGAAACCAAATGCGTTTCACGAGGTCTCCTCCCATGAGAGATCAATATTATGAACCCCTGCAATCGGTGTTATCTAGCGACTCTGAATCTCCTTCAGAGAAAATTCTTAAAATTATCATGCCGAACGATATACTTGACGATGATGTTTCTGTTCCTTCATCATTTTCGCCTCCGTCGACCAAATTGCCGAAGAGGAAAGCAAACGTTGATTACAGGGAGCTATCTCACAGATGCGAGATYCAAAGAAATAGTGTACGATTTCATTCCAAAGTTCTTGTCATGAGAATACCATCTCGATCTCAGTACACCGAATCCATGAAACGAAATATGTGGTGTTCTCTATCCGGGATCGCGAGGTCGGCCCAACGAAACACCATCGAATTTACTTCCGAAGGATGGGACTGGCGCAATGCTGTCGAAGAGGATTCTATGTACGTGCATCCAAAGACTGGACAATATATCCATCCTGTGCACGTACACAGAGCTGCTTCTTCGGCGTCAATGAAGCCAACGACGCCGGAGGTAGATAGAGAAGAAAGCATTTCGACGTTWACGGAATCAAACCGGGAAAGGGTAGGCAGTGACACTACGGGGAATTTCACTGATCATACCCTGCCTGCCCACGAGTGACTGAAATGATRCATACTAGTCAATGGGGTACATGAGTTTYGTTCAATTGCAATCMTATAARCCTTCGCACACGGGTTGAAGCGAAGCGGGGACGAAAAAGAACGAACTAAATGCAATTTTATGCATCTTTCTTTTCCTTTTCACTTGGAGGTCGCGCACTAAAWKATGAACGGGATGATAAGCGATAATTATTCCCTACAAGTTGGGAAAAACAAACTTTGGGGCTACAAAGAGAATAATTATACTATCAGGGAGATGGCTTTTGATAAATTCTAAAATGTTCATCTAATACCTAATACACTATTGGATAACTATTAAGTTGTACCTTTCTTGCAGATCTCGTTAATTGGAGTGCGAATTGTTGCATCATCACCATTTCCTTGTTGCCGGTTTGTCCCTCATACAAGTCAGTGGAGTATCATGAACGTTATAGCTAGCAATACTAGTACTTAAAGTAATTATAGTAGTTCCATCCCCTCAGACTCCCCTTTCTATCAACAATTTCAGTCGAGGAAAAACTATTCTAGTATTTTTTTTCTTTTCGACTTCCATGATTRCTTACGCTTCGTATGAACGCAAGTACTGGTTCGTACCCGCACGAGTACCGTATTGTTCTACTTCTGTGGTAAATGTGCTATTTGAGACACATATTACGGAACGAACGGACTACATCACAACATCATTTCACATCACGAGAACCGATCACGAAGATATCGGCAGAATGCAATCCAAAATCCTGTTCGATACAATCTTTTGGTCTCGTTTGTTGCTGAAATGACAGGAACGCACATGGCGAACATCATTCACTTCATAAGAGCTGTTCAGTACTCGCCAAATTCCCTAAMTAGGTAGATCAGATTCCCATAACGTTGGAGTTAAAAAGCAGTTGTGCCATGGTATCTAGAAGCAAGCAASAAGGAGGCGTTGCGTCGTTGCCGGAGAAAGAAGAAGAATCATCAGGGCCAAACATTAACCGACCAAGAAATTTTYTGGCAACAGATGCGACGAAGCCCTTCGACTTTTCGTTCATACAATATGGCAAGCCGGCGACGATTWCTGTCAACCAATCGGCCGACGACGACACTTGGCCAGGAGGCTCACTCTGGGACATCGGTATAATTCTCTCTGACTTCTTGGTGCAGTTGGCTGGATTCAAATCCACGAAAAAAGAACAATCGAAAGAAAAAATTCCAGAAAGATTATTACAAGCGATACCAACCGTCAAGGATCTCACTGTGCTAGAGCTTGGATGTGGCACAGGGTTGACTGGTATTGTGGCAGCGGCAGTGCTAGGAACACAGCTCGCAATAGTAACTGATCTTAAAGTTGTAGTAGAAAAAGTAGCAGCCCCAAACATCGAACTCAATTCGACGCCTTCAGTAGGAGGAAAYGGAAAGGATACTCCTTATAGGTTGACAAAAGCTGGTAAACGAGGAAGAATAATTGCGATGCCTTTGTGTTGGGGAGATGAACAAGACGAAAACGCTGTGTATGAATGCTTCCGTAAATATACAAAGTGTGCGGCGAAATCCCGACGGAAGCAAAAAGGCAAGAACAAACAGCCTGAAAAGGTAGACATGGGGCATCCCGACTTGATAATTATTGGTGACGTTGCTTACCAGCACTATCCTGGTGCACCAAGTCATTTTGATGTACTCCTTTCGACGGTGTTGAGATTCTTAGGTCCAACAACTCTCGTAGTATTTGGCACTCGAATGAGGTAAGCACGTTTTATGATAAATTTACTATGCATTTGAAAGCACAACGGTCACCAGGCTATGCATTKAGCTTKTAAACATTCTCAAAACGACATTTTCGTTTATCTACTGCCTCAGGATGCCGGCTTCTGCCGATTTGCTCCACATGTTCTTGGAACACATGGAAGAAGTTACCAGCCCTCCTATACAAGCTGACGAAATTGACCCCACTTTCAAAAAATACAAACATCAAATAACGATTCATGTTTTGAAAAAGCGGAAAGATGGCAAAGCTGTAGCTGCGAGTGGCACTAAAACGAGATAGTCGTCAACAAACTGTGTCGCCAAAGATCAAGAGAGAAAAACGAACTTCGGACGTTGTGAGCTTCGCACACGACAGTATTCTACAACTTTCAAATGGTTTATAGCATCGAAGTCATAAGTGCTCTCGATTTCCGTTTCAACCGATTATTCCACCAAATGTTCTTCGCTCTTTTTCCCGGGTTAATGCGACGCAACCTCGACAATCACACTTTAAAGTCCCCTGAGCCTTGGCTTCAACACTCCAAGGGATGGTCTGATGAAGATCAAGTTTCCATGGATCCTGCTTGTCAGCACGCACGAATCGCTGAATCGCCAGAAGACTTGCTGAGTCCATACCTGTGTTTGCAGGAAATTCTACACATGTAGTATAAGCTTCGGTGTCTGAAAATATTGTAACATCAGGCTTGGAAACTTGCATACCACTCGGTCGCGCGCCTTCCACTAAGCAATCTTTCCAACTATCAATCCGCCCACCCAAGTCAATCACCTGAGATGAATCATTGAGATAGCAAAAAAAATATATTGGTGATGCCTTTTTTGACGAAGTCAATATGTGAATACTATCTGACAAAATCCATGTTTTCTTGAAACGATGGGAAAGAAATCTTACCTCTGACAATTCCGTCGTGTTGGACTGTGAAAAAATAGCATCAATCGAATCTTGGTCACCAGTGGTTAAAGCATTATAAAACACYTCGACAGCTTCCACTAGTTCCTTCTCTGCAGCTGTTGTTTCGGAACTTAGTTTTTTTGTATTTGAATCATCTGAGATGTCCAGGAAGTCGGTCGGTCGGAGAAATCTTCGTAAAGAATCAATAAACGTGAAATGTTTAAAATAGTGTGTAAGCTTTCACCTCAAAACATATTTCAAAGAATAGACGGGATAATACGAACGAGAGAAACATAAAATGGATAGCAGGCGCGGCGAAATACTTCACGATACAATGAAAAATTGGACATAGGATATCGAGACTGACGTACTGGCCCATAAGTTGAATCATCTGCATCTCCCCATCACCCGATCCGAAAGATCTTCCGTTTGAGTTCAAACCAAACCAGCGAAAGCCAAAATCGCCACCAGATTCGTCGTTTGYCAATCCCCGAAAATAATCCAACCAGACCTGTGGTTGATAAGAATCTGCCAGCCAAGATTTGTAGGAGTTTTGGTCTAAGTCCTGCCAGTCTCTTGCGGTGGATCCATCAGTAGACACAGCGACAACATACACTGAAGCTTGGGTGAAGCGTTGACGGTAGATTGCTAAGTCTTTTAAAACTCGGATCAATTTTGGTTGATCTCCGCATATCGCAATGATACGAGGCGGCTTGTCCATTCCCCTGAAAACTTTCAATGGAATCGGTTTCGAAAAAGGCATTTCAGAGAAAGSATTTGTCGGAAGTCGTATTGGTAAGCTTTCTGTATTCAGTTCTTTTTCGATTCGATTCAGTTGCCTTGCCCGTCGAGTGCATTCTCGAACAAACAGTGCCGCGCTASCACTTGCAAGGGCCAAAGATGCGATTGTTGTCGGAGTRTTCATTGGCTCATACCCGATAGCCTCGACGATGAATGGAGCCGAAAGMAGTGTCAATCCGAGGAAAGCGTAGAGGATTATGCGCAAGGGTTCRGACTGGTTGGTCGCATCGTACCTCACAATAGCATCACCTCGCACAGATCGAAGCGAGAGCGGATCGAACACGGGCTTCGTAATATCAAACTGATTTGACATGGATAATTTGACGCGATTTCGGTCAACCTGGAGTGGTTCCTTATCACACACATTTGTCCATTTTGAAGCATCATTTCTTCCAACGAGACGGAGATGATGGTGCTTGATGTGGAATGCGCCACACGTTGATGCCTGAGAACCGATAATGGCGATCAGTGTACGAAGAATCGCCTTTGTCATCTTCGGATATTTTCACTCAATTGTTGATCTATCAACACGCACTAATTATGAAAGTAGCTATAGTGTCGTCGACGGCCCTTCTTTCGGACACAACTTTCKTTTAAAAGTTTGTGTGACGGGGCTGTTTGATAGGATACTTTATTAATACAGGCGAAGTGTGGAGAGTCAGCGCTGTGGCACGATTGCGAGATTGGATACCATTCTTTCGAAGTTAGATGATGATCCGTTTGTGTGATCTGTTTTCCGCAAGAAAATAATTCAGTAGTATCTGCACATATCTGCACATACAGTACGTACTCGTACGATGCTGTATTATGGACAGTAAGGTACATCATCATGACGTCATGCTGTACGTTAAGGACGAGGAAGCCTTCAGAAAGCATGGATCACTGACTCATGACTCCTCTCTACTGGTGACGATAGTGACTGATTTCGATAGTCAGTCCTGAGCTCTTGGACACCATTAAAAATCGTTGGAGAGCAACCGATCCATTCTTAAAAATCTTAAAAACGCATACGAGTACTCGTACTCGTTCGTACTTTTTAATTACAACATACATGCGAGTACGAACAAGGACGTACCGTGCGTACGTACTGGACTGTACGGAAAACAAAATCTTGATGAGGAGCTGTCAAAAAYAATGGGTCGGCTCCTCGCAAAAACGTGAACATCCTCAGAATCGTCGATGAGCCGAAGCGACAATGGATAAGCGTTACCCGAAGACCATCCTACCTGTTACATTCATTGCTAGACACTGAAAGGATGCGAAATTTTCACTCGCGATTGGCGCTATGCCTGCAAATTCTTCTTGTCGCAGTGATCACATTGAAGAAAATCTCAGTTGTATCGTTTACAGCTCTCCCGCAGAATCTTCTTCGTGTTGGTCGATGCCAATCAAAGTTGAGATCGTCAGTAATAGTTGCTGCTGGTCAGTCAGGTAATAAAAGCAATAAGAAAAGGCGGAAAAAATGGAAGAAAAAATCTGTTGAGAAGAATGCATACGACACTATAGACTTTGTACAAGGTGGCATCGAAATATGGAGAGTCTATGGAATTTCGGTTCATCCCGACGATCTAGAGGAAAGCGAAGTTTCGTCGACAACCAGTCAAGTGACCATATCTGACAATCAAATTCCACAAGCACTACAGAATGCTCTTCTAAAAAAGCTACGATTGGAAAGTATACCGGTCGGTACCCGAATTGTTCGTCGTTCTCTGGATGCTCGCAAAAAGTTAGACCATCCCGAATACAGTTACGTTGTCGATATACCTATTGAAGGATCTCTTCGCCACGCTTTAAGGTGGCAAGTCAAATCTGGAAAAATGGATAAATTGAAAACAATTGATGATACCACAGATGCAGGAGAAAAAAATGATTTAAATAGCGAGCACGAAGACGAAATTCAGACAAAGGACGTCGTAGTCGTTGGGATGGGGCCCGCCGGTCTCTTTTGCGCACTTCAACTTGCCCTAAGCAGCAAAGGTAGAGTTCGCCCTATTTTGCTGGACCGAGGTCAACCAGTAGATAAACGAGGTCAGGACATTGGAAGACTTATTCATCGACGGCATCTCAACGAGGAAAGTAACTTTTCGTTTGGCGAGGGCGGTGCTGGAACTTGGAGTGACGGAAAACTCACAACCCGCATAGGAAGAAACAGCGGGACAGTTAGATTAGTTTTGGAGACTCTTGTGGAATTTGGTGCTCCCTCGGACATATTGTGAGTGTCRATAGGTRCCACGCCTTCTCCCATAGAAAGCCCTGAATAATTTTCTGGTTTYAACAATCTCAACTGGGAAACCTTGCATTGTTTATTCCTCTCTGACACTTGTTGAAATCCACAGGTGGAAAGGAGCTCCCCATTTGGGAACTGATAAYTTAGTCAAACTGTTACGCAACATGCGCTTCAAATTGACTGAATTGGGAGGGRAAATTCATTTTGGAACGAAGATGACAAATTTACGGATGGACGGTACGAAGGTTTGCGGAGTAGAGGCAGAAGATAATGATGGAAATCAGCGATATTTCGAAGGGGAAAGTGTGGTRTTATCRACTGGGCACAGTGCGCGAGATGTATAYGAAAATTTGCATCAGGCGGGTGTAAAATTGGAACCCAAGGGATTCGCTGTGGGCTTCCGAATCGAACATCCCCAAAAACTAATTAACAAAATTCAGTACGGTGACGAATGGGGTCCTTCCGTCAGAACTGGAAAGGGTTTGACAGATGCAGCAAACAAAGAATATTTTGGAAGCGAACCGAAACATGCTGCCAAGATGCCTGTTCCGTCTTACCGACTTGCAACGGATAAGGCGATGGATGGTGTAGATGGTAATCTTCGTGGTGTATATAGTTTTTGCATGTGCCCCGTAAGTAAGATCTCATTCGAAAGTTGGTTTAGGTGCTCGGCATCGTGTTAACATTATTCTGATCCTCAATGGTTTTTCTTCTTGTTTCTTTTTCCAACTTCATCGGTCGAATTCATTCAGGGTGGGCAAATTGTTCCTGCCTCGACCGAACCAGAAGAAGTGTGTGTAAATGGGATGAGTTTCAGTAGGAGAGATTCAAAATGGGCAAACTCCGCCCTTGTTGTAACAGTGGATGAGGATGACGAGATTCTAGATGAATACAGAGCCAATCATGGTGTATTAGCAGGACTTGAATTCCAGCGTGAAATGGAGCGTAGAGCATATAAACTTGGTGGAGGCAACTTGACGGTYCCTGTTCAACGAATGACAGACTTCTGTGATAAAAAAATCTCATCCACAATTCCTTCYTCTTCATATCGTCTTGGGGTGAAGTCTGCAGCTTGTCATGAGATCTATCCAGAAGCAATCACAAATGCATTGCGTGATGCGCTCACCAACCATTTCCAGAAGCAGATGCCAGGTTACTATCATCCAGACGGCTTACTTCATGCGGTAGAAACAAGGACATCGAGTCCAATCCGGATACCAAGAGATCGAAAGACRCTCCTGGCAATCGGAACTGAGAATCTCTACCCCKCTGGCGAGGGTGCTGGCTACGCTGGAGGAATTGTATCTGCCGCTGTTGACGGAATCAACGTTGCAGAAACTATTTTGGATTCCATTTGTGGCGAATCAAGACCAAAYAGAATAGACAAGGGCAAGTCAGTGGGCTTYTCGTACTAGTRKTCTTGTTCAAATCGGAGGTAAGAAAACAGGCAACATTTTGCCAATTCAAAAAACGACAATGATTATGAAAATTGAACACCCTGACAAAATTCACAGTTGCGATAGAGACCAGTCGTCTTTCGGCGTGAGCAAAATGTTCACGAAAATCAGTTAGTAGCTGTTTCTCGGTAGCTTGTGGAATGACGAACCCGGTGTTTTGATAGGAAGAGTATGAGACTCGTTTCAATGRCCATTCTGCTACAATATCCGTTCCAGCTGAAGGCAAACTCTCATGCAGTTTTTTCTTTTGTCGATACCATTTTTCGATTTCATACTGTTCGGTGATTGTTGTTCCTAAATATAGCATTGAGCATTCTCAAGATAAATCGCTCAGTGGAATCAATTTTATTCTATTTTAATAACCCCGCTTATGTCGGCCGTAAAAGTTACTCTCAATATCCGATAGTTTCGTTCAGTGTTTTTCTAGGCAACGACTCAAGTATAGCTGTTGACGCYAAAATTCTAATTATTGTTGGAGCAGGGAGAGCAAGGCTATCCTTCGGCCTCTTCCGTCAAGGACAAAGAATGGGCGTGTCATTGCCACGTCACGGAAAGACTCTTTCATAAGGTTTCCTACACTCAACAATTCTCTTGAAGCTGTGTCAATGTTTTCGTCGTCCGAAATATACCATGAAATGGTCGCACTCGAAGAGCAATAATCCAACTTGACTTCCTTGAAWGCTTCAATATATTCTGTTGGATTTTTTCCTTTGGTTTGCACTTTTTCTGAATATCCACTTGGTAGAGAATGGCTCCTTCCAAGTAGAGTTGCATTRCCAGTCCAAAAACGATGTACGTCAATCTTCTGTGAATGGTTGGAAAGTATGCTTCTTTTTGGGAGAGAGATAATAGCTCTTAGCGACATGGTGTTCTGGAAACAACAGTGCATCAAAGATGGAACCTTATCGAGAAGAGAATAAATAAATTAGATTTCGAAGTTAGAAAGTGAAATTCCCATCGATTTTTCCCTTTCATTYCAAGCCATGTTCCTATCACAATCCTTGCCTCAAAAGTGTCAATTTCAAATTTGACTCGAAGAAAGCTGTACCCTTAGCTGGCCATAGGACAATGATGTCAGAGATCGCATTGCTCTCGATAAATAAGACATCAAGGGATGATGATGTTTTATGACACGCTTCGGCATGACCGTTTCTCAACGTGAAAACTTGAAACTCGTCGAAGCTTTYATTGATCTGTGTTGTCATGATGTCACAAAACAAAATGCCATCGGTACTACCAGTAGGTACGTACCCAAGTACAGTACCTTAATTAGAGTRCGAGTACTCGTAGTACTGTATTTTCAGTCGTGCCATCTTCAAAACTTTCCAACACACAGTACTGTATGGTAAAGTACGTAGTTACCATATTTACGTACCGATGGCGTCATCGTTTYAAATTTTTGAGGCGCAACCTCTCACTCTTTACTGCTACTACTGCAAACACAAAGATAACTTACTACAACAAGCAGAGTTTGATTACAGCTAAGTGGTTTAGCAAGTGATCTTCAATGATGTCACTTACCAGTTGAAAATGTTATCAAGTGTTGAAAATGACTCAGTTTCAAATCAGGATCTCTACACTTCTACTGCTACTAGTAGTGGTAGCTACTACTAGTACTACTAGTAGTACTCATACAGCAAGAACAAGAAGCAAATAATTTCTTACTATACTGAATAATTATTTTTTGGTAACTAACAGGGGATCACCATCTCATGTCAGAGCCTATCATCCATGCATTGCTGGACAACCCTAACTATAGATGTCTAATAGTATGTACTGCTGTATGTGACTATGACATGACATGACCACATGACACCATGACATGGTGATTGCACCAATGATGCTGGTGCCTTAACAACAAGGCAACATGTGGTGGTCTACTGCATAGTATTGTAACCACTTAGTTGAAAATGGCACTAAGGAT